CCTTCCCCGGAGGTAAAAAAGAAAATTAAAAAAAAAGAAAATTATAAAAAAAATTATAAAAAAAAGAAAATTAGAAAAAAAAGGTTCCTCACCGGGGATCGAACTCTCAATGTCCAGACCCCGCCACGTGCACCGCCACTCATTTAGCAACTCTACTCGTTGAGCTATCTCATTATGTCATTGTCTAGCAGCCTAAATAACATACTATATATAGCCATCCGAGAAAATTGGGTCCGAGCGAACAGGTCCGAGCGAATTATGATTGAACATGAAAGCCCGTCTTTAAAAAGAGTAAGTATCAAACGTATTGACATTCCTGAGTAAGAACAATGCAACAGGCAAACATAAAAGTGCAAACATAATAGAGAAACTTCGCCAGGACATGCAACAACGACATCTAGCGACAGGCGGCATTATTGTTGTCATTAACATAATTTATGCAATCATCTTTAGATTTGTAGTACGATCAATAGATTAGCGCCTAAAAACTTATGTAACCGTACTTCGATCAATGGTATGTCACTAGATGAGACTGTTACTACATAAAGTTTCTTTTTGTAAAGAACATGGATTAAAATGGCAGCAAGTCTATTGCATATCTCACAAAACGGAAAGAAGTAAACAGGTATTGCATGGCCTGCAGACTTACCAAACTACCAAAGAAAGAAAGAAACAAAGAAGGATAGATTCCGTCTTATTACATTTCAGCGCGCATGCGCTGAAATGTAAAAATGCAGTTTCTTGTACCCTTGAGAATCATATAAACAGCTGCACAACAAGCTTTGTGGTACTAGAATGTTACCTGTTTGTTGCTGAACGTGAGAGGGGCGAGTCCCACGGCGCACAAGCTCAGTAGCACGGCGATGCCGGCGGCCAGACAGCTGCGGCGGGCGCGGAGGAAGCTACAGACACCACGGCAGCCGCTCGCTCCACCCGGATACGCGCCGTCTGGTAGGAAAACATACTTCGCTCAGGTTATTGTTTACGTCGACATTTACACATAGTGACGCAGATTGAACAAATGAACACGTGTCAATGAAATACAAATAATTTACCATTAGGAAAAATAGCATTATCGTATTTATTGCAAAGTATACCTCATTTGCATAATTGGAGCCTGTTAATGTTCCACCTGATTATTTTCTTATTACTTATGAAAAAAGTTTAACCTGGTATGGTGGCGTCGGGTGTGTTTTCATCGTCGTTCGCACGTGCCTGGGGTTGGTCCATGGGTGCGTCGTCTGGACGTAAAAAACAAAGATGCCATGTACTTATCTGTCAACATATTGGGCGTTAAAGGCCCAATATCAATATTTTAACATACAAAAGTAACAACACGGATACTATAAATGATTTATCTAAACAACTAAGCACAAAAATGTTTTTAAGAAATGAATGATGGGAACTACATGTTTAGAAAAGTGACCTCAGCATTAGAAGGTAAGGAACTAGTTAATCGGACCTGCATTTTTACAGTGATTTCTCTTTTGCTTACAAATAATGCTTCTGGTACATTACAAAACTGTGTAGGTATATTGACAAGCTAATCTATAAACTTCTCAACAAAAGCCTACATGTGCACGCAAATAGTACCACAGACCAATCACGGTAACTACCTAAAAGAAATCCACAGCTTATAATAACAAACGGATGAGAAAAACAGGATGCAAGGAAAGAGATAAACCTAAAAAGTGTAGTACTTTTACCTGGTATGGTGGCGTACGTGACCTCGGGTGCATTTTCATCGTCGTTCGCACGTGCCTGGTTATCAGTCTGGGGCTGGTCCATGGGTGGGTCGGCTGAGTGAAAAAAAAAACAAAGACGTAATATTTCATTAGTGACAAATATTGGGCCTAACGATCGAAATTGGGACAATTTACCTGAACCAGAAGCGTAGATAGGATTGATCATTTTGGCAGCGGCGTCCGCACGTGATCGCAGTGACTTAGGCTGTTGCATGGGCGTGGTGCCTGAGACAAGTGAAGAAAATTTAATTAGGCATCTGCAGAACATTAACGCTAGTAAAATTACGATACGGAAATGATAACCTCTGTAGCTGATTTACCTGCATTGGAGGGGTACACAGGGTTGAGTATTTTNACGTAAAAAACAAAGATGCCATGTACTTATCTGTCAACATATTGGGCGTTAAAGGCCCAATATCAATATTTTAACATACAAAAGTAACAACACGGATACTATAAATGATTTATCTAAACAACTAAGCACAAAAATGTTTTTAAGAAATGAATGATGGGAACTACATGTTTAGAAAAGTGACCTCAGCATTAGAAGGTAAGGAACTAGTTAATCGGACCTGCATTTTTACAGTGATTTCTCTTTTGCTTACAAATAATGCTTCTGGTACATTACAAAACTGTGTAGGTATATTGACAAGCTAATCTATAAACTTCTCAACAAAAACCTACATGTGCACGCAAATAGTACCACAGACCAATCACGGTAACTACCTAAAAGAAATCCACAGCTTATAATAACAAACGGATGAGAAAAACAGGATGCAAGGAAAGAGATAAACCTAAAAAGTGTAGTACTTTTACCTGGTATGGTGGCGTACGTGACCTCGGGTGCATTTTCATCGTCGTTCGCACGTGCCTGGTTATCAGTCTGGGGCTGGTCCATGGGTGGGTCGGCTGAGTGAAAAAAAAAACAAAGACGTAATATTTCATTAGTGACAAATATTGGGCCTTTAACATACCAAACGATCGAAATTAGGACAATTTACCTGAAACCAGAAAGCGTAGATAGGATTGATCATTTTGGCAGCGGCGTCCGCACGTGATCGCAGTGACTTAGGCTGTTGCATGGGCGTGGTGCCTGAGACAAGTGAAGAAAATTTAATTAGGCATCTGCAGAACATTAACGCTAGTAAAATTACGATACGGAAATGATAACCTCTGTAGCTGATTTACCTGCATTGGAGGGGTACACAGGGTTGAGTATTTTTGCAGCGGCGTCAGCACGTGATCGCCAATAAGGCTCAGGCTGCCGTATGGGTGTGGCACCTGAGAGAAATAAATAGAAAACCATACAGGAAGATAGGGTGTTTGTCGTCGCCTAATCATCAAATAATTGCCTTTGTTTGGAAGGCTATGAAATCGCTTTGCTACCTATAGTGTGTGGGATACTAAGCGGAATAACTCTTGAAGGCATGATTCGATCTTAGTGAATTTTTGGTAGGCAGGTTGCCGTTGGGGATACAATGGTGAAGTTCAAAAATGCCCTCATAGGGGTCCCTACGTCACTGTAGTGGACCTTTTGTGGTCAAGTTCAAAAATGGGCCTCGTGGGAATCCCTAATCAAGATTAGGCATTTAACATTTCATAATTAGCTATAAACAAAGGAAAACGGAAGCGCGTTTCGGCAAGAACGGGGAAAGATGTATTCTCGGACTTTCATGTCCACACGGAAAGTGGAGAGAGCAGCAAGCCAACGTGCACACCTTGCCTAAATCCTGGCCGAGTGTGACAGTTTTATAGGCCCGCTGTTGCAGCAACAGTGCACCTTTGACGAAGCACCAAATATTCACCGGTGTGGGTACGTTTGCGTACGTACCATATGATGGATTTTATAATCGGAACGTACCGTAAAGATTAAAGGGATTTCTTGTTGTCATCAAATATAACCATAGAGCAAAGTATGCAATAGTCACCAACCTAAAGTTAGCCCTCCTTTCGGCCTTCGATACGCCAGCCTTCGATTGAGCCTTCGATTCGAATGGTAGGCACTATTTCGGAGACGCCTCAGGCGCGGGAGCATTCTATTGTCCCATATATGCAAATGAGCACTCATACAGTATGTAAATAGACATTGCACATACGTATGTCAAAGCAAACCACAGCCTTTCAGACTCTGTATTCATTTGATTAAATAATCTTCTAATTTTTAACAACCAAATGAGTTTTAATAATCTTTAACTTCACGTCAAAGATTCAAGAATGCCGTCCAGGACCGCACCCGACATGTTTAAATTAGACGCCTTCTTGCAAAGTAACGAAATAATTTTTAGTATTCAAATGTTTTTTAACAATCTTTTAGCGGTCTCTACCATCAGATAAAACTGATAAAACTAACGCACATTACGAAGTTTAGACTTCATGACGTCATAGATTAAACAATACGGATTTTCGAGGATCGCAACACTAGTGGATGCATAGAGAATAAACGCCATGTTGCAAAGTCAAGGAATAATTTCTAGAAACCAAATGTCTTTTAAACAGTCTCAAGACGTCCATACCACAAGATTCGACTGAAAAAAACAACGCACATTGCGTCGTTTGGACGTCATGACGTCATAGATTCAACCATACAGATTTGTAGGGCCTGAATCCCTATTTATATGATATTCAACTACGCGTAACTAATTATTGAAATAATTCTTAGTTTTCAAATCAACTTTAACAATCTTTTAAAGGTCCATACCATCAAATAAACCTGATAAATTTAACGCACATTGCGTCGTTTGGACGTCATGACGTCATGGATTCAACCATACAGATTTGTAGGGCCTGCATCCTGTTTATATAATGATATTCAACTAATCTTAGCTAACTAACGAAATAATTTTTAGTTCTCAAATCAATTTTAACAATCTTTTAAAGGTCCATACCACCAAATAAAGTTGATACAACTAACGCACGTTGCATCGATTTCTCGTCATGACATCATAGATCCAACACTCGATATTCGATATTCAGTATTCAACTCAATATTCAACTTAACTACTCGTAGCTAATTAACGAAATATTTTTAAGTTTTCAAATCAACTTTAAAAATCTTTTAGAGCTCCATACCATAAAATAAAACTGATAAATCTAACGCACATTACGTCGTTTTTACGTCATGACGTCATAGATTGAACTAAACAGATTTGTAGGGCCAGAATCCCTGTTTATATGATATTCAACTACTCGTACCTAATTAACAAAAAAAAATTGTTCTCAAATCAATTTTAACAATCTTTTAGAGGTCCATACCATCAACTTAAACTGATAAAACTAACGCACATTGCCTCGTTTTGACGTCATGACGTCATAGATTCAACCAAACAGATTTCTAGGGCCAGAATGTTTATATAATGATATTCAACTACTAGTACCTAATTAACGAAATAATTTTTGGTTTTCAAATCAACTTTAACAATCTTTTAAAGGTACATACCATCAAATAAAACTGATAAAACAAGAAGCCATAGGTGACAATCCTCCGTGAAGTTTTATATATTTCAACAAAATCCCAAGCGTCAACGCCAGACCTACTGTGCAGACATTGTAATTAGGCAACGGTTAATACAATGAGGGCGCGTCACAAGCATAAAACATACAAAGAGCTAAATCCATTACTGCTCCCAGGGCGTGTAAAGATACTGTGCTTCAAGTTCGAAGTTTATTTTAATTACACACACACAATCATTGCATTCACATAAAGATCGGACTATCATGGTCGTGTCTAGTAACAAAGATAGCCCCACCGTCTTACCGTGCCTGTACCTAATTAAGCGCGCCTGGAACAGGCCAAATTCCAGCAACAGTTGCGAGTGTTACTACCGCCGGCCAGATAACCAGGATATCTGCTTAGAGTACCTCTGCTACCAGACAACTGCCTAACCCTACGGCCTATTCCACAGGATTGTAAAAGTAGGGATGTTTCTAAAATATGCATTTACTTCAATATCAAAACAGCTACGGTAAAAATAAAAAGACGTGCATCAGCAATATTACATTGACCGCGAAAGCAGCAACGGCAAAAATACACATTCGTGCATCAACACGGGCATGCAAGCAGACGGCGTATAAAATTGCGTGCCGATTACACAAAGAGAACCCAGTGTTTTGACTGCGAACATGAAAAATCAGCCGATCACAACACTCCGTCCGGAGGTCCTCACCTCCTTCACGGAGTAACTAGAAAGGTAACATTTCCAAGCAAATGCAATATGTTTACCTCAGGATGGTCTTGCCTACGATTTAGCGTTATACCTTTATTAGGAAAGGAAAGGTATAAGGATAGTTTGCTTATATTACTGACTTTTATGTGCTGTTTATAGAGTAACATCAACGTTATAACTGGGGAATTCGAATGTTTTTGCCGTTGTAAGGCCAAGTTTAAAATCTACCCGTCTGCCACTCAAAGATCATTACCATAGACTACTCTTGTAGTGCCATGTATAGGAGGTACTAAGATATACATTGTATATAGTTACATACCACAGTACCGATGATTCACTCAGCACACACTCTTACCACGTTTGCAATTAGGCCACAGCATGTAACTTTAATCAATGACATCCTCTGCAGACTGCAAGTAAACTTCAAGTCTTTTTGACAGCTTTAGTTACAAAGGACTTTGCTGCGCTCATCTCACTTACCTTATTACATTTTTGTAAATAGGAAACAGGACGCGTAGGCTGAAATAATAATGATGATAAGTTTATTACTCCGTGAAGGAGGTCAGTACCTCCGGACGGAGTGTTGTGAACGGCTGGTTTTTCGTGTTCGCAGTCAAAACACTGGGTTCTCTTTGTGTAATCGGCACGCAATTTTAGACGCCGTCTGCGGGCATGCCCGTGTTGATGCACGAATGTGTATGTTTGCCGTCGCTGCTTTCGCGGTCAATGTAATATTGCAGATGCACCCCTACAATTACGAGGCGAATTGGAATGGTCCAGAAAAACGCGTTGTTTGTTGCGCAGTGGGGGGTGGAACTTCATGCAGATACGGGGTGGTTTTGATAAGTGGTTCCAGATGTTTTTGGTTGGAAGATGTTCGCAGCCAAAACGCATTCTTCCGTACGTCGCATTTCTTTGTAATTTCGCATGTGGTGTGGCATTATGTCCGGGATGATGCACGTCTTTTTATTTTTACCGTAGCTGTTTTGATATTTGAGTAAATGCTTATTTTCGAAACATCCCCATGTCGTTGAAATATGTTTTCGTCCGTTTATGTGACCGGTAGTACTTAGTAAGTGGCGGTCAGGCTGATGGGGACGGAAATGTGGGGTGGTCAGAGGTCAACATTACGAAATGTAAATACCGATGACGTAATCCTATCGATTTCAAACTGGTCGGCAGTGGCGACCTAGTGACGGCGTGTATTTAGTCACGTCGCAACTGGCCGGTCGTCCTAGCAACGAGCATGCTGGCCGCTTCGTAATTCACTGTACACATGGCCAATATTTTTGGGTTGGGCCGCTCCATAGTGTTAGTGGAGCAGCTCTTTGTAAACATGGACAATATTTTTGAGCAACCCATCAATGTGTTCTGCCTCGTGGTCGGATGTGATCTGGGGCTGGTAAACCGCACATACTAGTAGATCGGGTAATTTTATGATTTGCTAGTTGTAAAGGCGTCTTGTAGTATGAGCCGGTGTATGAAGAAGTAGCCTGTGTTACACAATCATGCTTTCGGCCGGATTGATGTGCAACTGTTACTAATTACAGGGACTGCCGCTGCGCTAATGCCGACTGGTTGCTTGGCCAGTCGCGCTGTCCTGATACACCGCGAATGTTGGGCAATATGCGAGTGTTCCCTGTAGACAGTCCCGGGAGTCATTTTTTTTCGCACATTCGCACATTCCAGGAGCCAAACCAAAATACGTTCATGAACCGAGTCCAAAAAACCGAAACGTGAAAATCGGATGATCGGACCTGATGTACATTTCTCTTTCTANTAGCAGGTGGGGGGGGGGGTGGAACTTCATGCAGATACGGGGTGGTTTTGATAAGTGGTTCCAGATGTATTTGCCCATGGTTAAGAGATGCCAAGTTTTTTGGAAGATGTTCGCAGCCAAAACGCATTCTTCCGTACGTCGCATTTTTGTGTAATTTCGCATGTGGTGTGGCATTATGTCCGGGATGATGCACGTCTTTTTATTTTTACCGTAGCTGTTTTGATATTGGAGTAAATGGTTATTTTCGAAACATCCCCATGTCGTTGAAATGTTGTCGTCCGTTTATGTCACCGGCAGTAAGTCGCGGCGGGGCTGATGGGGCGGAAATGTGGGGTGGTCAGAGGTCAACATTAGGAAATGTTAATACCGATGACGTAATCCTATCGATTTCAAACTGGTCGGGTGTGGCGACCTAGTGGCGGCGTGTATTTAGTCACGTAGCAACTGGCCGGTCGTCCTAGCAACGACACATGGCCAATATTTTTGGGTTGGGCCGCTCCATGGTGTTAGTGGAGCAGCTC